GAATCCTTCCAAAAATGGCACAGAGAAGCCCAATGCTGACATGGTTAATCCTCTCTAGGCTAGGGATATTGTAATTCTTCAACCTGAACCCTTCTAGTTTTAAGGAGAGTAATTTCTGTTCCATGAGTAAATAGTCTTGTTATACACCCCAGAAATTAAGACATGTCATTCAAAGATCTTATTTTTTTATGAAACTTTCAACAACTCTAACATCAGAATTTGGAGCTGATCATTTCATGATCTGCAGCATGACTTGATTTGGAAGCATGGCTAAATTCCTCGGTGTGACTACCTGGAAGGACCGTGGATATCCTGGTGTCAGTTTTATTTATGATGTTCTAAAGCTATCACTAATGAGTGCAATGGTGGTTCAATGGTAGACTTCTCGCCTTCCATGAGGAGACCTGGGTTTGATTCCCAGCCAATGCACCTCACGCACAGCCACCACCTGTCTGTCAAGTGGAGGCCTGTGTGTTGCTATGATGCTAATAGATTTTACCGGTGCTTCTAGATTAAGACAGACCAGGAAGAAAAGCCTGGTGTTCTGTTTCTGTAAATCAGCCAATGAAAACTCAATGTATTACAATGGTCTACCACAAAGGTCCAATCTGAAACTGGCCATGATGGTGGTGCAGGACTGGGCAGCATTTCCTTCCGCGGGGTCACTATGATTCAGGGCTGACTCCACAGCAGCTAAAAACAACAAATATTTCAATGCATATGGGCAATTGTCCCTTGCTAGGGCAACACCTGTGCAGTTTCCTTATATCCTCTCATTAGAGCCATGAATGGTATCCAACCCGTGTTCCAAATCTGACAAAGTGGTTGTCAATACTCTCAACAGAGAAGACCCCCGTGCTTCCTGGCATTCCCCCGTCCATTCTCTGAGCCTCATGGGAATGAATGTTCTGCATCTAGAAGGCAAGATGAGAAGGGACTGTGGAGTGCAGAGGGGAAGAGGTGAGGAGAACAATGTAGCAACAGGGCAGAGAGCTTATCAATGAGTTTGCCTCACCTGTTTCTAGTCTAAGGCACTTCTGCCTTGAGACACAAGGGTATAAAATATCTTTGGTCACACCTTCTACTTGCCATGGAGATAAACTTGAGCTTATCCCAAGAAAGAATCTTCTTAATTTCTGCAGAGTTATAATAAAATCCTCCAGGAATAAAATAGGCTTCTTAAAGATCAGTTTCTCTCTCGACCTCTATCAAACTCGCTTTGTGTGTGTGTTTCTAGCCTGGCCAACACTTCTCAGCTAGGGAAAAGTAATATTCTCTTTGTCTCTTTTTCATAAAAGGTCCCTTGTGACCACTGGAAATAGATGCCCATTCTTTGACTTGTTCCTTTCCAGTTCATGTTTTATTTGAAATTTGTTCTGCTCATTTTTATCATTTGTTTATTTCAAGGCTCCAAAATTTTCTTATGTGCATCTTAGGAAAAGAACTGCTTCTGTCAAAACTTTAGCCTTAGGTTTATAGTTCCTTTCTAAGAACTCAGCAAGGCCAGAATTGCCAAGTTCACATTATATTTCAAAGCAGAAAAAATATTTCCAAGTGTTATGCTGAAGCAGGATGGTTTAACAGCATATGCAAAATAGAGTCTCTGCTCTTGAAATACAAGTCAGAATGGGCTGAACATTAGAAGTGCAAACATTCAGATGACCTGTAATATGAGCCTTTCTTCAGCCACCGACATTGCAAGGAGGGTCACTGAGGCAAAGACTACCCAGTTTATATGATTATCGTAGTTAGGAAAGCATTTAACAAACACACAATAGATTTTTGCCCCTTCTTTTCACCTCATGTGGAAGGAGAGTATTAAACATTCCCTTAATTGTTTTCAAACTTGTGATCAAAATTTCATTTATAGGGGAGGTTTAGAGAACACAGGTCCCTGGATGGCACAAGTGATTTGTGCTGGTCTACTAACCCAAAGGTTATCGGTTTGAACCCACCCAGCAGTGCCATGGAAGAAAGGCCTGGTGATCTGCTTCCCTAAAGATCACAGCTAAGAAAACCCTATTGAGCTCCATTCCTCTCTGTAATACATAGGGTCACCATGAGTCAGAGCACGTTGACAACAATCGGTTTAATTTTTTGATGTTTAAAAAAAAGACAAAAATCTCTAATGTAATTAACTCTAAATTTAATTAAACATTTTCCTTTTATATACTGTCATTTATCTTAAGGTTTAACATTTTTAAAAAATCTGTGTACATGTAAAGGGAATGTAATTAATCATCTGTAAAACATGTAAAGTCCCAGCAACATACTTCTTCAAATTATCTCATCTTTATTCGTGATCTTTTTCTCCCACCAATTTTGCTAGGTTTCTGATTTCACTAAGTTGGGATTAAATCAGCGCATTCCTCCCACTGCATAATTTAGGACTGCTTTAAAACTATGTAATTACAAACCACCATGGCAGATTGTTAATTGCATTCACTGTCATAACTGCCATTAGCATGGTTTTAAATTCTTTCAGAACAGTGGTGTAAAGGTGTCATGTTAATAAGTCCCACTACTCTGTGTCTGCTATTGATTATCTGCAGCAATTACAGATTTGAATGGGATCCAAAACCAGACACAGAATCTGGGAAAATGCCAATGTTTTATGAGTTTGAAGGAATTTTTAAGAAAAAAATTCTTTAAAACAAAAAAGTAGCTGATGAAAGAGTTAGTATAAGATTTTTTAAATGATACAATTGCAAGCCTAATTGTATAAATGGGTACAGTCCTAATCTTTTTTTTCCTTCCAGGAAAAAAAAAAAAAAATTGGGTAGCGATCCACTCTAATTTTCATTGCTTTTTGCAGTGTGAAATTAAAAGACGTCATAAAGGTGTTCCAAAGTCAGATTTGATAACTTCTGCTCTGTGAATAGAGTCCCTGGGTGGAGCAAATGGTTAAATGCTCACCTACTAACTGGAAAGTTTCAAACCTAACCAGAGACACCTAAGAAGAAAGGCCACCTGCTTATGAAAGGCCACAGCCTTGAAAACTTTATGAAGCACAGTTCCACTCTGTACCGTTGGGGATCCCAACAGTCAGAATGGACTTGATGAAGATTTTTTTTCCCTCTGTAAACTCCCACTGCTCTTCCTTTTCACCATAAATCTCTTCTGGATGCCCAAGTTCTTAACTTCCTCTTCTTTATCAGTGTCTAGATGGTTGTTGCTGTTAGCTGCCATCAAGTAAGCCCTGACTCCTGACCTCTCTTGTTACCCTTTTAAAACTAATGTAAATTTTCTTCATTCAGGAAGCCCACCTAAGGAAACTTTTATCATGCAACTCCCAGTGCCAAACACACAACAAAAACATCTTTTCCTGATAGGGAAAAAAAAAAAAAAACACCCCACACACTTTATCTTTTATTGTAAAGTGTTCACAGTTCCCATTTAAACACTTTTCCTTAAGGCAAGATCTTTGGTGGAATCATGGATTAAACAGTTGTTGCTGTTGAGTTGCCATCTCTGACTCATGGCAAACCCATGTGTGCAAATGGGACTGTTCCAGAGGGTTTTCAAGTTTGTGACCTTTTGCAAGCAAATCATCAGGCCCATCTTCCCAGACCCCTCTGGGTGGGTCTGAACTGCCAGCCTTTCAGCCAGTAGTACAGTGCTTAACTGTTTGCATCACCCAGGGACACCCTTTAATACATTCAGAAGTTCCAATCAAGTTCTTGCTTGCAATTATCTAAAAATAATACAGTATACACCTGGATCAATATAATTCCCTCTTATGCACTCCTGGGTGTTTATAAATGAACTGAATTGTGGTGGACAAAGATCCCAGTGCCTCTTAATGACTACAATAATTCTCTTGTAATTTGCTGAAAGCAAGTGGTATTCTTTTACCCATTCTCCAAGTTCATAGTAAAAGCAAAGAGGGAGATGTTTGTTAAGAATCTTCAGGTGGGTAGATCTGATGGCTTTGAAACTAGATAAATGCATACTTCAGGCTAAAGAAATAAGCTTTGGAAGCAAAGATTTGGAAAAGAGAAGTCACTAACTCAAAGAGTAGTCCATCGGTTTGATTAAGTATTTTCAAACAATTGTCACCAAGCTTAATAATGGACACTGAAAAGAATGTATTCTAGCATTGTGACTTCCTTTACTTTACGAAAATGTACTGAAGTAAAAGAAGAATCTAGGAATAGTGAATTGGTACCTGTCCCCTACCTCCTTAAATTTGGTTAGCAAACTGAGAAATCCAGAGGTTCCAGTCTGAGTGTTGCCCCTTTCTGGAAATGTTCTCCGTGCAGCTAGCTCTCCAAGAGCAGCTGCTATGTGGTGTGGCAAATGATTAACTCTGTCACCTCCAACTTTGCATGCCTGCTTTTAAGTATGTGGATGTCAGTCTTGGGGTAGAAAAAATACAAAAGTCATCTTAAGTCTTAGAGTGCAGTAATTTTAATAGTCCACACTAAATAGGCAGTACAGTTTTGTAGTTCAAAATCAAATGCTATCCTGCCTTAAAATATTTCTACTCCCGTCCCTCCACTACAGAAATACTTCCAAAGTGCATTTCTCAGGATGAAAAACATCACTGTGCTTTGCTTTCCAGTAGCGAGTCCTGAATCAAACCACACCTTCCTCGTTTGAAGGTCTGCGCAGTTTACGTTTACCAGCTCTTACAGAAGTAGCCTTCTCATTCCCACAAGTGACATAAGAGGTGGAGGCTATAGAATAGCTTTGTGGAGAAAAAAAAAAAAAAGAAAAGAAAAAGAAAATTTATACCAACTTCCTCTACGGCAGGTCTGTTCGCTAACCACACACACACAAAAAAAATAATAATAAAATAAAAAAATTAATGCCTCCTTGAGTCATGAATTAATGAAAACTCAAATGACCCTTCAATTTGCGTAAAACCATGGAGGCCTTCTACGAATATTCATAATTTGGTGGCGTGAGACACCAAACACTGGGGAGGATCTGACTTTTTCAGTCTTAGAACTGGGGGCTGGGGAGTGGCGGGAGGAGACTGTCCTGGGGCATTCTGGCTATTGATTCTCTTCCTGGGGGTCGCCAGGAACGCCTGCCTCCTCAGAGGATCTGACTCCCTCCGGTAGCAGCGCAGTGCGCACCTTCCTCTTCTCCTTGAAGCGGCCCGAGCGCGAGATCTTCAAATTGCGGCGGCTGTTGCCCGATTTCTCCCCGTATAATTTGTCTGGCTTGTGGGACTCGCCGGCGTCCCCAGGGAGATTGGGGTGCAGGTTCTCCTGAGAGCTGCTAGTCCAGGTTGGGCTGGGTGGCGCGGGCTCCCCGGAGGCGGGCTGAGCCGGAGGCTGCGCCCCAACCGTGGCTTCCTTGCTTTTCCTGCTGCTCGTTAGCGATTTCCACCAGGGACCCAAGCTGCCAGTGCCGCCGCTGTTGGCCATGGCCGGCCTCCCGAGGGGCCCAGGACGCCGCAGGTGCGGAAAGGCTTCGGCAGCGCGGCCTTGCTTTTCCCCGAGGTCTCTTGCAGTTCACTGCACTCCCTCCTCGGGCTCTCCCACGCCGGTAGCGGGGTGGGAGCCGAAGCAGCGCCGGGTGCTGGGGAAGAAAACAAAACTGGTTACCGGGTTTCTCGAAGTCACGTGCCCCTCTATCTCATTCCCTCTCCTTCGCCCCGCCCGGCACCGGATTGTCCAGTCTCCGAGCGCCAGGCGCGTGGAGCCTCACAGTCCTTGGAGGGCACTGCCGCGTCCGGTAGGACACTAGTGGAAGAGTGGCCTCCCAGCTGAGCCCTTGCATTTTCAAGATTCTATCTTTGCCTGGTCTCCAGGGGGAAGTGCAGTGGTCAGCGCTCGAGGAGCACTAGGAATCTGTGATCTGGACCAAGGGACGCCCCCGATAAGGACAATGGCTCGTTCTGTCCCTTTTGTTTGTACAACGAACGTCTAAAGTGACTCAGCCGGCCCAGAATGGCCTCCCCTCGGATGGGCATCAAAAAGGGCGCTCAGAAACAAACACATACAGCTGTGGGTGAACGATGAGCACCCGACCATTGTCAAACGTTCCTGACATTTTCCCCAAAGGTTTTGCCCCATGGACTTCTGCCCCAAGTTCCTTTTCAATGGGATACTTCCGGCAAATTACATCCCAGTAAGAATCGAGGAACAAGCTCGTGGTGTTTTTAATTCTGCTTTTTACATAATCTCCCCTGTAACTTCCAGAGAAGCATGTCTAGACTTAACTTCCCTTGAAAAGCGCCACCCTACGCTTCCTTCTATTCCTCAGAGACCAGCCTTGCGTCTCTATGAAGCCTGACCCCGCCAAGTTGAGATGAGGCCAAATGGCAAATATCCCAAAGTCTGTTTGTACTACGCAACTCTTGAGATTTTCAGTTATGAAACAGAAATCTCTGTTCTTTCAACCCTCCCCCAAAGCAGCAAGGGACCAAGGATATATCCCCCAAACCACGTCGACTTCAATTTTCTATCTCCCCAAGCTTTTTAAAATCCCTCCATGGAGCAAAAAGGCTGTTTATTAGCATTTTAATCTCGGCAATGAGATTCCTCCGCCCCCTATGTGTGTCGGGTCTATCCGGAACTGTTGTTGTTGTT